ATCAACAGGCCCACTTGCACCCCTTGCCCCCACTTCACAAGGAGGGACTCAACACCGTCTATCTGAGGCACAGTGGTCTCCCTTGGACACATACTCTCCCTTATAATGACCGCCACCCCCCCGCCCCTACCCCGGGCCCTCGGCTGATGGAATGCTTGGAAACCTGGTGGGCATAGATCAACAAGGGGAACTCCCCCTTGTTGATCTATGCCCACCAGGTTTCCAAGCATTCCATCCCCCATGTAGAGAGCATTGCAATAGTCCAGGCGGGAAACAACAAGGGCTTGAGTGACTGTGCGTAGGGCGTCCCGATCCAGAAAGGGGCGCAACTGGCGTATCAGGCGAACCTGATGAAAAGCCCCCCTGGCCACGGCCGTCACATGATCGTCTAAAGACAGCCGAGCATCCAGGAGGACGCCCAGGTTGCGAGCCCTCTCCGCGGGAGCTAATGACTCGCCCCCGATAGCCAGAGATGGAACCAACTGGCTATGACGTGACGCCGGAAACCACAACCACTCGGTCTTGGACGGGTTGAGATGAAGCCTGTTCCTCCCCATCCAGACTCGCACGGCCTCCAGGCAGCGGGACATCACTTTCGCGGCATCGTTGGGGTGGTCCGGGGTGATGTACAGCTGGGAGGTCTTCTAGTCCAGCCCCCTGCTCAAATAGGAGAACCTATACCATCTCAGACAAGTGACTGTCTACCCTCTTCTTAAAAACCTCCAGGGTGTTGCCTACTCCTGCCAGTTTGGTGTCATCTGCAAATCTCATGAGTTCCCCTTCAATTCTCTCATCTAAGTCATTGATGAAAATATTGAAGAGTCCTGGGTCTAAGACGGAACCTTGTGGTACCCACTGCTTACTTCTCTCCATGTGAATGTAGTGCCATTGAGGACTACTCTTTGGGTATGGTTTGCCAGCCAGCTCCAGATCCATCTGGTGGTGATGTTGTCTATTCCACCTTTTTCTAGCTTACCAAGGAGTAGGTTGGGGTCTACTTTACCAAATGCCTTACTGAAATCTAAGTGTACTACGTCCACAGCATTTCGCTGGTCTACTAGTTTAGTGACTTTATTGGAGAATGAGATAAGATTGGTTTGATATGATCTGTTTTTGATAAAGCTGTGCTGGCTACTAGTTATAACTTTATTTGCTTCAAGTTGTTCGTAGATCTGTTTTTTGATTATCTTTTCCAGGATCTTCCCAGGTATTGATGTTAGACTGATTGGTCTGTAGTTTCTGGGTCTGTTTTTTTTCCTTTCTTGAAGTTTTTTTCCTTTGGTTTTCTTCTATTGCTGTTGCTTCTGTAGGTTTTCTTCTTCCTTACCGAATAAATTGGTTAAGGAGGGAAAGGAAACAGGAACTCGAAAGTCTTCTGGGTTGGTGGTCTTGTTGGACACCCTGCCCCCTCCATCTGAAGGCAGGTGCTATTTGGTGGAGGGCTCAGTATCAGAGGGAAGGGAAAGACAAGACTGGCCAGGAGACAGGAAAAAGGAGCTGCAGAGAAAGACTCGAGTCCTCGGTGCTTACAGCTCCATCTTCCTCACTGGCAGAAGCCTGCTTGTTTTCAGTTTACTTCTGAGCACCTAACATTGAGGACTAGGAACAGTCTTCTTTTAAACCTGGGTAGGCCATCTCAAGCCCTTTTTGTCCATCGCCTCTCAGCCTCAGCTGGCACTAACACAACTGGGACCATTGTAGTCCAACAGTATTCAGTATTCCAAGGATCAGAGGTTGCTTGGGCGAAGTGTCTCTGGATTAATGCCTTGCCCACAGAAGCATCTCTTTTGGTTCTCCAGACACCTCACAGCTGTCTGACTCCTGGTTTCTCCTTCTCACCTCTTAGCTACACAATCGCTGCAGTTCTGGGGATCCACGCTTGGGAGATGACTACAATATACCCCACTGGATCAACCACAGGTGCGCGTCTGTAATCCAGACTGATAGGAGCAGGCAGTGTCCATGTGGGGCTATCTCCCCATTGCAGCTTTGGTTTTGGAAGACAGGCCTACCCCCCTGACTTTCCCAAGGCCTGCAAACACCCCTGGCTTGGTGGTTTGCGTTATCGCTTTTCTGCTTAAGATGCAGAAAGTGGGTTTGGGAGGAAGCAAAAATGCTAATGCATCTTTTGTTTTGGATCAGTTATTTTTTCCCTTTTCCAGAAAAAGATGCTGCTTCAGGTATTTTCCCCAACCTGTGCTTTTGCCTCATCTTTCTGCCCCCCCCCTCTCTTTATAGTTTCTACACTTCCAAAAGCCAACTTCAGTGTAACAGTTTCACCCCACGGATCAAGCTGGCAGCTCGGAAGGTAAGTGGACTGGCCTAACTGTGGAGTGCAGCCCTAGCGGTGCAGATGCACCAGCTCAGATTTGCAACCACAGGAATAATCACCACTAGCTATTTTTAAGGACAGACATTACAATGATTGAAGGAAAAAAACAAATTAAAAATTCTCCCTCCAGAGCAGGCCCGCACAACTCCTAGAGAGGAAGGACTCGATCAATACGTGAAAAATAATTGTGACCCACAAATAATGGTTGTGCCGGTTGGCTTTGGGCAGCTAAAGATCTGGCAGCAGCTAGGGAGCTGGCAGTGTTCCCCGAAGCCTGGTGGTGTCAGGGGTGCCCAGGAGCCCGTCTTGGGGGGCAGAAGTGGCTGGGATCTTTCTTGGCAGCAGCAAATTGTGGTGGCAACAGATTGGTTATTTCAGATAATTCCGCAGGAGGCTGCTTGGTGGGCCACGTTGTGTAGGTCTGCTCTAGAATTTGTAAAGACTCATTTCAGTTTTTCTTTTTTGCATGTTGAATTTCAGCCACAGAGTGAAAAAGCCAAAAGTAGCAGGGAATCTTGTGAGTAACTCTCCTACATTATTGCATTGTTCTTTTGTAAAGATGAGAGTTTTATGTCCGGCGCTTCCACTGTGCAGCTGGCAAGTTCATGATGAAACAGGAGGGATTTTTTTCCCATTAACTCCAAATCCCCCTCCCTGTTTCCTTTTCTCCCCACCCCTGTGTTTCCCCTCTGGTCTTGCTTCCCTTCCCTTCTCCCCCCTTCCCTTCTCCCTCTGTCTCTTTCCTGTTTCCCCCCTCCCTCTCTTTTCTCTATGGAAGAGAAAGCAGTGGTGGTATTTCCCTTTGTAACTAGCCCTTCTACTGCACCAGCAATTTTCTGTATTCATGGCTTTGAAAAGAACCCTAAATAGACTCAGAAAAAGTGCCTCCATTCTGTGCTACACACCGTAGCTGCTCTGAAGGAAAATGACTCGCCCTGTGGACGGCCAGTACATTTTACAAATAAATAAAATAAAACAGGCATGTCAAAGATTAGTGCAGGGAGGACAGCTTAAGCCCTACTCCACGCCTTGAGCCCCCCCCACCGGAGTGTTCCAGCTTCTCACCATCCAAACAACAGCACATTTTTCAGGCAAATGAAGTGATATAATATAGATGCAAATTGTGTCCAGCCTGGCGCTGCAGGCCATTGGTGGACCAGAGTGCCAGCACAGCCTGACAGGCCTGGGGTGAGAAAGCATCATAGAGCTGCCAAGAACTGCAGCCAAAGAGAGACTCTGAGGGACTCTCACAGTCTCAGCCCTGCGGAGGCTTTCCCAGGATCCCCTCGTGGGTTTTGCCTCTGCAGTGCTGGCCTTTGTAGGCAAGGAATCCAGTCAGGCAGAGGACAGGTGGAGAAGGTGGAGTCTTAACCCTCTGCTGATCAGTTGGGCCACACGGTTTAAGTTGGCAAAGTGGTTTCAGGGCGTGCTTGCCCACAGCCTGGGACCCAGCTGTTAGAAGGCCCTCCAGTCACGGGCTGGTCTGCTTGTGTTCCAGCCTTGGGTGCTCCTAAGGAGACCGAGAATGCGCTTCCCATTCAAGTGGACTATGACGCCTACGATGCCCAGGTTTTCCATCTGCCCGGCCCCTCCAGAGTCCCACGTTACACCACCTTTAGGTAAGCAAGCCTGTGGCCAAGCTTAGGGGATTGCACTGGGGAAGAGAGAGGCAGAGCTTTATATTTGGGTACAAGGAATTAAAAACACTGTGTAAGATAGGAGAGTC